CAATAAAAGTATCTCCATCTTTGACAAAGCCAATACTTAATCAAAACACCCCACACCCTAATGTTGACAATACAGAGACTCTACAAGTGGAAGTGCATGTTAATCACAGTTACGCAGTCTCTTGGGGCTGGAGGTGACCACACTGAATGTTGGCCACCCATTACATGGCTAGACACATGTTTGAATATGGATGAAGCTTAATATGGAGACATGGTAAAGTTGGTATTGAATTCCCTGGGCCTTGTTGTGGACTACTGAATATGGAGATGAAATGAGTAGTTATCAGGCATCATCACATCACCTGTTGCCTGGATGTTGTCCGTTTCTTCTGTCATATTTAGGGAAACAGTTAATGTTCCATGTGAGCAAGTATGGGGGATTCTTGTGAGGAGCTGTGATGGATCTTGTGAGGTGGTGTGATGGATGTGGTGTGGTGGTGTGATGGATCTTGTGAGGGGCTGTGATGGATCTTGTTAGGTGATGTGGTGGATCTTGTGAGGGGCTGTGATGGATCTTGTGTGGTGGTGTGATGGATCTTGTGAGGTGGTGTGGTGGATCTTGTGAGGTGGTGTGATGAATCTTGTGAGGTGGTATGGTGGATCTTGTGAGGTGGTGTGATAGATCTTGTGAGGTGGTGTGATGAACCTTGTGAGGTGGTTTGATGGATCTTGTGTGGTGGTGTGAAGGATCTTGTGATGTGGTGTGATGGATCTTGTGAGGTGGTGTGATAGATCTTGTGAGGTGGTGGATGTTGTGAGGTGGTGATGGATCTTGTTAGGTGATGTGGTGGATCTTGTGAGGGGCTGTGATGGATCTTGTGTGGTGGTGTGATTGATCTTGTGGTGGTGTGGTGGATCTTGTGAGGTGGTGTGATGAATCTTGTGAGGTGGTGTGGTGGATCTTGTGAGGTGGTGTGATGGATCTTGTGAGGTGGTGTGATGGATCTTGTGAGGTGGTGTGATGGATCTTGTGAGGTGGTGTGATGGATCTTGTGATGTGGTGTGATGGATCTTGTGAGGTGGTGTGATAGATCTTGTGAGGTGGTGGATGTTGGTGGTGTGATGGATCTTGTGAGGTGGTGTGATGGATCTTGTGAGGTGGTGTGATGGATCTTGTGAGGTGGTGTGATGGATCTTGTGAGGTGGTGTGATGGATCTTGTGTGTGGTGGATCTTGTGAGGTGAGGTGGTGATGGATCTTGTGAGATGGTATGATGGATCTTGTGAGGTGGTGGATCTTGTGAGGTGGTGTGATGGATCTTGTGAGGTGGTGGATCTTCTTGTGATGTGGTGTGATGGATCTTGTGAAGTGGTGTGATGGATCTTGTGAGGTGGTGGATCTTGTGAGGTGGTGTGATGGATCTTGTGAGGTGGTGTGAGGTGGTGTGATGGATCTTGTGAGGTGGTGTGATGGATCTTGTTAGGTGATGTGGTGGATCTTGTGAGGGGCTGTGATGGATCTTGTGTGGTGGTGTGATGGATCTTGTGAGGTGGTGTGATGGATCTTGTTAGGTGGATCTTGTGAGGTGGTGTGGTGGATCTTGTGAGATGGTATGATGGATCTTGTGAGGTGGTGGATCTTGTGAGGTGGTGTGGTGGATCTTGTGAGGTGGTGTGATGGATCTTGTGAGGTGGTGTGATGGATCTTGTGAAGTGGTGTGATGGATCTTGTGAGGTGGTGGATCTTGTGAGGTGGTGTGATGGATCTTGTGAGGTGGTGTGATGGATCTTGTGAGGTGGATCTTGTGAGGTGGTGTGATGGATCTTGTGAGATGGTGTGATGGATCCTGTGAGGTGGTGGATCTTGTGAGGTGGTGTGGTGGATCTTGTGAGGTGGTGTGGTGGATCTTGTGAGGTGGTGTGATGGATCTTGTGTGGTGGTGTGATGGGTCTTGTGAGGTGGTTTGATTGATCTTGTGAGGTGGTGTGATGGATCTTGTGAGGTGGTGTGATGGATCTTGTGAGGTGGTTTGATTGATCTTGTGAGGTGGTTTGATTGATCTTGTGAAGTGGTGTGATGGATCTTGTGAGGTGGTGGATCTTGTGAGGTGGTGTGGTGGATCTTGTGAGGTGGTGTGGTGGATCTTGTGAGGTGGTGTGATGGATCTTGTGATGTAGTGTGATCGATCTTGTGATGTGGTGTGATGGATCTTGTGATGTGATGGATCTTGTGAGGTGGTGTGATGGATCTTGTGAGGTGGTTTGATTGATCTTGTGAGGTGGTGTGATGGATCTTGTGAGGTGGTTTGATTGATCTTGTGAGGTGGTGTGATGGATCTTGTGAGGTGGTTGATCTTGTGAGGTGGTGTGATGGATCTTGTGAGGTGGTTTGATTGATCTTGTGAGGTGGTGTGATGGATCTTGTGAGGTGGTGGATCTTGTGAGGTGGTGTGATGATTGATCTTGTGAGGTGGTTTGATTGATCTTGTGAGGTGGTTTGATTGATCTTGTGAGGTGGTTTGATTGATCTTGTGAGGTGGTTTGATTGATCTTGTGAGGTTGGTGGATCTTGTGAGGTGGTGTGATGGATCTTGTGAGGTGGTTTGATTGATCTTGTGAGGTGGATCTTGTGAGGTGGTCTTGTGAGGTGGTGATTGATCTTGTGAGGTGGTTTGATCTCTTGTGAGGTGGTTTGATGGATCTTGTGATGTGATGGATCTTGTGAGGTGGTGGATCTTGTGAGGTGGTGTGATGGATCTTGTGAGGTGGTTTGATTGATCTTGTGAGGTGGTGTGATTGATCTTGTGAGGTGGTGGATCTTGTGAGGTGGTGTGATGGATCTTGTGAGGTGGTTTGATTGATCTTGTGAGGTGGTTTGATTGATCTTGTGAGGTGGTGGATCTTGTGAGGTGATGGATCTTGTGAGGTGGTTTGATGGATCTTGTGAGGTGGTTTGATTGATCTTGTGAGGTGGTTTGATTTGTGAGGTGGTGGATCTTGTGAGGTGGTTTGATTGATCTTGTGAGGTGGTTTGATTGATCTTGTGAGGTGGTTTGATTGATCTTGTGAGGTGGTGTGATGGATCTTGTGATGGTGGATCTTGTGAGGTGGTTTGATTGATCTTGTGAGGTGGTGGATCTTGTGAGGTGGTTTGATTGATCTTGTGAGGTGGTTTGATTGATCTTGTGAGGTGATCTTGTAAATAGGTGTGATGGTTTATTGAGGAGGCAGTGATGATTAGTTTCAATACAGATGAACCATCATTCCTGTTTGCATTCCTGTTTAGTGCTCAATAAATACTGTACTACTATGGATGTGTTATCATTCAGAACAGCTCCAGTGCTGATCAAATTGACTGGAGTGGTGACCAGTGAAACTAAGCGTCTTGTACTCCTGCTTGAAGTTGTAGATTTTATTGCTTAGTGATTGATCTGTATCAAATTGAAAGTACTGTAGAAGTTAAATCACCTGTACAGAATGTTGAAGTCGCATCTCATTTCTCAGGGCCCGGACTTGTTTACCCCAAACACCTAGCCTGTCTTAGCTGATGAAGATCAAACTTGGTATGCAGGTACATCTGTATCATAATTGATATCAGTGACACCTAACTTTTATCAAGTAATCACAGTTAGCATGCAGGTGCATCTGCATGATCACTGATACCAGTCACTCCTGACATTCATGGTGTGATCAAACTTGGCATGTATCTGCCACCAACATTTACATGGTGGTTTCGTCAAATAGTTTTGATCAATCCATCATCTGGATATTAGTGAAGATTAAACCTTGTCCAGGTTAGACAGTGTGCATATACAAACTGTCTTTTATGTAATCATACTGTACCTATGTACCGATTGTCGTCATGTATCCACTTGTGTTAGCGTGTTCACCTTGTGTTGCAGATGTACACCTTGTGTTAAGGTGCACATTTGGTGTTACAAGTGAAACTGTAAACCTTGTGTTAAGGTGCACATTTGGTGTTACAAGTGAAACTGTACACCTTGTGTTAAGGTGTACATTTGGTGTTACAAGTGAAACTGTACACCTTGTGTTAAGGTACACATTTGGTGTTAAAAGTGAAACTGTACACCTTGTGTTAAGGTGCATGTTTGGTCTAACAAGTGAAACTGTACACCTTGTGTTAAGGTGCACATTTGGTGTTACAAGTGAAACTGTACACCTTGTGTTGCAGGTTGAACTGTGTACACTTTGTGTTGCAGGTACACCTTGTGTACAGGTGAAACTGTACATTTTGTTTTGATATGTACACCTTGTGAAACTGGGTACACCTTATGTTAATGAATACACCTTGTGTTGCAGGTGAAACTAAGCATCTTGCATTAATATGTACACCTTGTGTTACATGTTAAGCTGTGTACACTGTGTTAATGAGTATACCTTGTGTTGCAGGTGAAGATGTGTACACCTTTTGTTAATGAGTACACCATGTGTTGCAGGTGAAGCTGTGTACACCTTGTTAATGAGTACATCTTGTGTTGCAGTTGAAGCTGTGTACACCTTGTTAATAAGTACACCTAGTGTTGCAGGTGAAACTGTGTACACCTTGTGTTAATGAGTACACCTTGTGTTACATGTTAAGCTGTGTACACTATGTTAATGAGTACACCTTGTGTTGCAGGTGACGCTGTGTACACCTTGTGTTAATGAGTACACCTTGTGTTGCAGGTGATGCTGTGTACACCTTGTGTTAATGAGTACACCTTGTATTGCAGGTGACGCTGTGTACACCTTGTGTTAATGAGTACACCTTGTGTTGCAGGTGAAGCTGTGTACACCTTGTGTTAATGAGTACACCTTGTGTTGCAGGTGAAGCTGTGTACACCTTGTGTTAATGAGTACACCTTGTGTTGCAGGTGAAGCTGTGTACACCTTGTGTTAATGAGTACACCTTGTGTTGCAGGTGATGTGGTGTACACCTCACGTTAATGAGTACACCTTGTGTTGCAGGTGATGCTGTGTACACCTTGTGTTAATGAGTACACCTTGTATTGCAGGTGATGCTGTGTACACCTTGTGTTAATGAGTACACCTTGTGTTGCAGGTGACGCTGTGTACAGTTGGCTATGGTGACGTGGTGCCAACAACGTGGGGAGGAAAGTTGATAGCTTCCTTTTCTGCCATTCTGGGAATATCATTCTTTGCGTTGCCAGCTGTAAGTCAAACATTATTCACATTATCACATAGATGTTTCCCCGACATCGACAAACATGCATGTCAACAAATTTACAGAGAATTGTGACCTAGCAGTTACACAACCATGGATTGCCGTGAATGCTGACAGACCTTTAACAATATGTGAGTGGGTCATGGTGGATATTGATAGTGCTAAGTACCACCTAAGTACCTCCATATTGAGGAAGCTCCAACGAAAAAAAGTTTTGAAAATGATGCCTCAAAGTAGCAGAAAAAAACATGTTTGACTAAACCAGCTTTGTGTATGTGTGTATTTCAGACCATTATACATTACAAATGTTCTTTATGAAACAGTTTAGAAAACATTAAGGCCTTCCTAAAACAAAGACAATTGTTACGAATTATATATTAACATATGGATACCTGTATGTTTGTTGATATCTAACCCTAAGAAAAGTCTCCTAAAATCTCTTGAAACAGATTCAGGAGGGTGTGTAATGTAATGTGATACTTTGTTCTTTTTGCCAGGGTATTTTGGGTTCAGGGTTTGCCTTGAAAGTGCAGCAACAGCAACGACAGAAACACCTGAACCGTCGCCGTGTACCCGCTGCTCAACTCATACAGTGCCTGTGGCGGTGTTATGCTGCAGATGAAAACTCCATGTCCCTTGCCACATGGAAGCCCCACATGGTGCCATGCCCTAGTCCAACTTTGTGAGTTATTCCCCTTGGTTAAAGGTCAGAAGTATTTTACTGTATATAGTGGTGAAGGAAATTGGAAACCTTCAGTATAAATATACACACAGAAGTGGGCTGTATACATTATATTACTATCCACAAACACAACAGTAAATTATAAGGTCTTTGTAAGATTGTGATGTTTCAGTAACTTTAATGATGTCTTCAATTGCATAGATCGATGCTCATGCTTTTGATCACTGGATTGTCTGGTCCAGACTCGATTATTTACAGACCACTGCCATATAGCTGGAATGTTGCTGAGTGCAGAGTAAAACTAAACTCATTCACTCACTCGCTCACTCTTTTTCTATGATGATATTTGTTGTATCGGTGGATCCGATGTGCATATAGATGTTTCACATGAGATATTTCAAAAAAATAAGTCAACTATTTGTTACTTCTTCATTTATCATATGCACGAGACATTGTCTCTACTTAATTTGGGTTATCATAAATGTTGGATTGATATACCAATGATATTCAGGGTTCGAAATACCCCATATATTAACGTGCCATGGCACGGTAAATATCAAAATGGCACGGATAAAAAATGTTCTTGATGCCATTATGGCACGTCTAATTTTTTAGAGACATAACACACTTTTGGACTCTTAATAACCAAACAAAACACTTATGCAAATGACAACCAGGCAAAAACATTTATTGACTTTATCACCCAGGAAATCACTGGAATTATGACAGTTCATGTAAAGAAGTCTGGTTGTTTCTTCATTTAGAGTGTTGGGAGTACCGATAGTTCTGTTATTGAAGAGGAAATTGTGTATGTTAGCTATATTGAAAAAAGTGAACCTCTCACACAATTCTTAGCTATTAAAGGTGTTAGGAAAACAGAACAAATGAAAGATAAGAAAGCCATCTAAAACAGAAGACATATCAGTGATAACAGAAAACTGGTTACATTTGTTGTTTTCTGACAATAAATTTCAAAAGATCATCATCCTTGCTACTGTCATTTATTCTAAAACATCTGGGCACACTTGATTTCTGAAAGGCACACCTAAAATATTTACCTGGTGCCCTAAGGCACACTTAGAAAAAAAGTATTTCTATCCCTGATATTTTATTTCCCACAAAGAGTGTTATTTCACTAACTTGAATACAACAAGGTCTGTAAATTTTCCTGGGTGGAGCTTCCCTTTAACATGTTTAACTGTCTCTCATTGGTTGCAACAGAGAGAGGCCCTGGAAGAACAATGCTTCATTTGTGAGTAGATTCTCAACACGGCGCAGAGAAAGGTCTGGTACAAACTCAACATCCCGAGAAAACAGCAGCGGGGACAGAGGTGGGATTCAGTCCCCAATGACCCCCCGACAGAACAGCAAGAAGATGCATCACTCCAACACAGAGGAGGATGTACCAGATGCTCTCAACAGGTACGCTATGACTGCACATGAGGAGGAGTTGCAAAGATTAGGATGTGAATTAACATTATTTAGTGGAAATCTTACTGCTTGTTTAATTAAAGGGAATGTCACATTTGTAGGATATTATGGATGTAGCAATTTGGTGGTGATATTGAATATCTTGGAGGATTTTCATTTAGTCGTCACAGGTTTTAATGTTCACGTCTTCGTCACAAGAAATCCAAATGAATAGAATTTAAGATGTGTAGCATCTCATTGGTGATATGTTTAGTTTTTTTCCTTGAGGGGCTGTCTGTGGAAGTTCTGTGTTGAAAACTTTCTAAAATTTCATCACACTTTCTTATAGCAAAGTGCACTTCGCAAAAAAAACAACCTAAAATTTATCAGGCAATATCTTGGCATACACCTACAAATCATTGAAGTAAAAACTAGCTCTTCACTTCATGTTTGAATGTTCTGGCCTTCACTTGTAGCCAACATGGATGTTTCAGGAAACACCACACAAGTTGTCTAAGTTTTTTAGCAAAGAATTTTTAATTTCAATGACAGGTTTCTTGAAATTCTGCTTTAGAATCAAATGTTTTGTCACAGAGTTTGCCAGTGGCTGTTGTATGTAAGGATCTGTTGCATAATTTATTGGTTAAAAGCCTTCAGCAATTACCGCTTGTGTCATCTTCATCTTTTCAGTTAAATGTTTTTTAAATACTTGAGAGTATGCAGAGTTCAATTCATCTTGGTTTCTTAAAGAAAGTTTTAGTTTATATAGGCAGAAGGTTGTGTTTTGTGTCCAAGCCCTGGTTGGTTTAGTGTCAGTTAATGATAATAAATGGTGTTAAGAGAATAAACGTTGTTGTACTGCAGATGATAACTATTTCAGAGGTTGGTTAGTAAATGAGGAGTAATGGTCCAGAGTTTGATGGAAACCTCCCTCATCTAGTGGATAGAGCCTCCACAAGAACAGCAGACAGTAACTGGTTCCAATCCTTGTCATATCGTACTTGACATCAAGAGATGGTACTTCTTGTTACCCTGCCTTGCACAAGACATTGTAACAACAAGTTCCTTTTGCTCTCGGAGCAGATGCTCCATGCCTCACCACAGAGACAGCCATGATGGAATAATGGACATGAAATTATCCACACATAGGACATGCATGTCACAAATGTGTGAAAGGAATGTTATTTTTGACTTGGCTGCTTCTCAAGGGTATGTCAACAGGGTAGGGAATACCTATGCTCAATTCACATGAAAACTTCAGACCACCTTACCTTCCATCAATTTCACAATCATGAATAATTATCATGTTAATTAGTTCATATTTCACGATTCTTACTCATCAGTTTTAGTTACCTGATACGGGGCGGTGGGGTAGCCTAATGGTTAAAGCGTTTGCTCCTCACGCCGAAGACCCGGGTTCGATTCCCCACATGGGTACAATGTGTGAAGCTCATTTCTGGTGTCCCCCAGCCTTGATATTGCTGGAATATTGCTAAAAGCGGCGTAAAACCAAACTCACTCACTCACTCAGTTACCTGATACACACTATTGTCAAGTTTTAGGTATTTTTTGCTTGTATTAACTAGGAGTGTAGGACTACATCTCATGTAATAAGCTTTGGAACAACTTGTCACATGGACCATCTAAGTCTTAATATTTTAGGTGCCTGTACAAATATACTACATGTTTCCAGTTTTGATTATAAAACAAGTAAGTTGCATAGCAACAATTCCTGAGAAATAGACAAAATTTTCACAGAGAATGTGTAACATATTTGCAAATTCATGATATGAATGTTCAGAAATAACCTATCGCAACTAATTCTTAAAGCGAGATATTGAACAAAAACATATTAAATCAGCCAATAACATATAATGAAATAGGTATTCCCTACCCAATATCTAGGCTGTCTTTATAACAAGGTTGTCTCTTTAACAAGGTTGTCTTTATAACAAAGGTGTCTCTTTAACAAGGTTGTCTCTAGAACAAGGGTGTATGTAACAATCAATGTGTTTTCAATTAAGGTAATGTTCCAGTTAATTACTGATAAAATTGAAATTGGAGATGAGATCTTTGATATCATCCATCAAAGTGTCAATTGTACCTAAGTGTTCTGGAAAAGGAATGTTCTTGTGGCGGTGTTGTGCTCTGGCTGATGTGTTTGGTATTGACGTCTTATCGTCGCATGTCACATGATCCTGATATATTGTAAAACAAGTGGATCTTTTTGAAGTCCCTTTTTCTATTAACTGCAAGAATGAATATTATTAGCCCATTCTGAGAAAATAATTTTACATGGTTGTATTTTATCATTAAAGACATCCCCGCAACAGTCATTCTATAAATATTCTCGTATAATAGAGCATTACTGCTATGACTGAAGGTTATGGTTGTGATAAAAATAACATAAGTCTGAACAAATGACTGTGGGGAATGAGAATCCATGCAATTCAGACCTAGTTGTTATTTTGTGTGGTGTCATATTTCGGTCGTTACTTTGTTAACATTCAGCCTAAAGCATTCTAACAAATGGGCCTAAGCTGTCTGATTTCTTCAGCCAAACTTCTATGTGTGGATGACACAGGTGCAATGATAGGAAATAATTGTCTCACTTTGACATGGTGTGGAAGAAGTGGAGACAAGATCATTCCAAAATCTGAACTGTTCTTGCAATTTCTGTTTTGGAGGCCATATGACATGTACATATGACAGGCATAAGTAATTATCGAAGGAAGAAAGCACACAAATATTGATGCGACAACACTGGCAATATTTTCATATTTCATATAATTTTCTTTCATATATCAAATGGCTTATATTGTACAAAATTATTGTTACATTTTATTGGCCTTTAAAAGGAAATGGCTCTCTTCCAGGGGTTCAAAAATCCCATCGCCCTACCCCCGGGACAAGTCAGTTTTGATTTCGGGCAATCAAATACTGGTGTCTTACTTGTCCGTGGGCTACTAGATCATCTCTGCTTACGTTTTCAAACTGCAAATAAACTTGGATTTAATTTCATATCTGCTCAAAATGTAGCTATTAAATTTTGCAATGATAATTAAGTAGAGTTATCCTTCTTTGCCATTTATCACTTCTCTATAATAGTCCAGTGAACATTAACATCAAATACCATGTTGATTTATTCATTCATAATTACATCATCATGATTATGTCATAAAAATCAGGGCAAGTGGAAAAATAGCCAGGACAAGTTACTTTCTTAAAGTCATTTGCCCGGTGGCAAGTGGCTTTTAAAAAGATTTTTGAACCCCTGCTCTTCTGGATATTTTATTTGGCTGTACATTTATCTCAAATCAAAATATACAGGGATTATATTTGGCCCTTATAAACTGACAGTGGACTGTGCTGTTACCCCATCATGTAAAACTAACTAATCATAGTACAAACATTTATTATCCAAAACTGTGTTCCACAGGAGATATTGCTTGTGTCAGATCAAACTATATCTCCTAGGAGATATCATTTTGACAGTAGATTTTGTACAATGCCCTGACAATGCTATGACATCATGAACTTAATGACAGAACAATGCTATGACATCGCTACACTGCAAGTCTAAAGGCAGTACCGTGTTCAGAGATGGACATTTTTCATTTAAAACTAAGGAGTGATTTTTGATGATAAATAGAATCTCACCCTTGTGTCTTCTGATATCAAATATATCAACACTCATTGATAAAAGTAAAAATATCCTCAGGTACCATAAGCCTCGGATATTTGTAACTTTAACAACTCATGGTGATATATTTGATATCAAAAGACACTCGGGTGAGATTCTCTATATATACAACTGAAATGGTAAATCATGTCTAGTTCTGTTTCACTGCAAATTTCACATTGTTCATTCACCTGAAGTGATATGATGTTTTTTGATCGACAGCAAAATAGTTTGATGAAAGCATAACCTTCACAGAGGACAACCACTTTCTACAGAATGTTTATTCATGTCCTCAAAATTCAGCTTATCTACTGTAATTTGGTAATATGCATGGAATTTGTTCATGAAAAATCAAATATTTAGGATGGGGGTTTTAACCCGATTTTCACAAATGAATATAATACAAATATGGACAATGTAATAAATGGTTGTTGTCAGTGTATTCAATATTATGGGCAAGGCTGCATGTCGGTCATGCCAATATGGTAATTGGCGCTAGAATAACGTGTATGAACAGTTATTGTTCAGCAACTTATCATTAAATGTTCAGTCCTGATCCCAAACTGTCTGTTTGTTAAACCTTGGTATAAAATTACCATTTAGAATTAAATTAAAAACAGATTATTTTGAATCATATATTCATGTTTAAGTCCTCGGCATAGCCTTTAGACTTTATCTCCTTGTCAGCTGGTGTCCACAAGTGAAATGTTACAGTATTTGGTAGACAGTAATTGAGCTGGGGAAGGGGAAAACAGCAGCTGAAGGCACGGACAGTGTCCCCCAGGGGGTAGGACGACATACAAACAACCCAATCAAATTGTCTGAACACTAAATCCCCATATCAGTCAGCTCGTACATTAAGCATAAGGTACTGGGGACGCATTCTGACCTGGACCTGATGAGGTCATGATCAGCGCCACCATGGCTGCGGACACATAACTACAAGTTATATACATAAGCCTGTATGTGTAGGGTTGGGACTTGACCCAAGCCCATATCATTCCATAGTTCCTTGAATTTGGCAAGAATTCAGTACAGGTTTTTTAGATGAAAATCAGATAGTGCATTCCTCAAAAGTTTAATACAGCCATAATGAAAAGTTGTGGATTACAAGTGAAATAGTTAATAAATGTTTAGGGTAGGTGTTTCTTATGTTTTGATTGAAAATTGAAATTGAAGTTTATTTGAAAATCAAGTTAAACTTTTATGGATTTTTAAATGTTTCTGTGACTCATATCATGAACTGACACCTATCAAGTTATCATAGACAGTGATGCTGCAGTACCCTCTGCGGAGTTGCTTCCTTCAGTTGTGCCAGGATCTGCTGTTC